TTACTAGGAAAACCGAACGGTCAAAGACCGTTCAGTAACGCTCTTACGTTATCATAGGGAAAGTTCATATTCAAATTCATTTGCATTCCAATTCATTTCTCAATATACAACTTCATAATTCCATACGTCCATATTATAGTACATTTCTTATTCCTCATACAATCCATATCATGTAAGTTTCATATATTTCATACATTATACATAACTCAACCATATTTAATTTACACTCATTAAATCAACGAACGTTCATTCAATCCAATCATATCAACCATCATGCATCAAAATCATTCAGTCAAATAACGAACGTTCATACAATACCACAACATACAAATTAAATTAAATAAGCTTCCCTTACCTGGATACGTGATTGAACTGCCTAAGAGTAGGTTTTTGGTTCGCCCGACTACAGCTTTCTACCCTCAATGATCACTTAACTCTTCCAACTTAAACTGAACAACATCAGAATCACAAATAACTTAGACTACGCCCCTGCATGCAACCAGAACTTGGTTTGCATGTAACAAAAGATGAACGACTAAGGACAGATACGCTTACCCGCTTAAACTTGAAACTCGTTCGGTTCAAGATGAAGCTTAGGACGTCGGGAACGCTCCTACGGTGCCTGAACGTTGATCGGAGCAGAGAAAAGATGAGTTAACTTAGAGATAAGGGAGGGTTTTCTAGAGAGAAGAAGGAGAAATGGAAGATCAGAGTTTGGAAAGGAAAAGGTGCATGCAGAAGAGAGTGGGTACGAGTTTTCAGAAAATCACTTTTGTTTTCCCCCGTCCAAACGGACGTCCGCTCTCCTGCTGACACCTGCCTTCCACTATATGATTTTCGAAACTTCGCTGGTTGACACCTGACGTCCGCTCAGAGGGGTTTTGGGTGCATTTTTAATGAGATTAGACATGTGGGGTTTGGGTGGGTTTTTCCGAGGTCTGACACAATACATATTTATTAACAAATTGTTTTCACTTTTAGTTTTATCTTTTTATGATTTCTAATTATTTATTCATTTAATGAAATAAAATTTAAAGAAATACATTTTACTTTTTTCTTAAAATCATGTTATTTAAAATATAATATATATTTATTAACAATACAAATTGTTTATATTATTGTCTAAAGAATTATTTTATTAATCAATTGTTTATAGTATTTTTTTATTTTAAATTTTTTATATGATTTCTAGTTACTTAATAATTTAATAAATTATTAAATAATAATTTTATTTTCAAATTATCAATATTTTTATACTATTTTTTTTATTTTTAATTGTATCCTTTTATAATTTCAAATTACATGTAATAAAATTAAACTAAGAAAAAAAAATTCTTATATCTATTAAAATAATATTATTTAAAAAATTAACACATACTAATTATTTATAGAAATTATTTATATTGTCATAAAAAATTGTTATGTAATAATTCTTTTTTACAAAATATTATCAATAAAAAATTATGTTTATCATTTTTATATTAAATTACGATATTGTTAAATATTCTTCATACATTTGTAAAAATTAAACTAATATCAATTAATAAAAGATTACCATGAATTATATATATATATATATATATATATATATATATATATATAATTTCGTATAAAATTTTAAATAATTATATTTATGATAAAATAAATTAAAATATTATACTTAATAATTTTTAAAATAAACATTTATGTAAAAAAACCATACTTCTTAATATTATAATTTTTTTTATATTTATAACTTTAAATTATTAGAACATACATTTTATTAAGATCGAATAAAAATATAAAAGTTAAAAAATTAGTTATCTTAAAATATATTTCTAATTTATTTATATTATTATTAAATGAATTTAAAAACAAATATTATAAGTATATTGATTCAACGAATCTAATAATAAATATTAGAAATATAACAAAAAGTATTATATAAAATAATTTATATTTAAATTATTAAATATTTTATATTATTTTTTTACTTTTAATTCTTCTCTTTTATGTTTTTTAACTTACATTTTCCACTTTTAATTATTTATTATTTAGTAAAATAAAATTTAAACAAAATATACTTTTTTTTATTTTTTTAAAATAATATCATTTAAGAAACAACATATATTTATTGATAATAAAAATTGTTTATACTGTCATATAAAAATATTCATGTAATAATTTAATTTTACAAAAAAATTATCAAGAAAAAGGATATTTGGGTTTTAAGGTTTTCAATATGTACGTAAAAATTGTATGTTCTAGCAAATTTGTAGCTATTTTGCTACGAATCAACTACATTTCTTATTTACTGATAGTTTTATTAAAAATGATTTTTTAACATATTACATAATATTAATCTATGTTTTGTTAATAATAACTTTAACAACTAAATTTTAATATAAATATAAATTTTATTCCAATTAAAAAAAATCAAATGTATAAACAATATTAAATAATATATTCATTTTAAATATTTTTTTTTTTGATAAAAAATTTATACTTAATCTTATAAAAAATAATTAACAAAATGTTAATTAACAATATAAAATAAAATAATGTTAAAAATCACTTTTAATAAAAATATTTACATTTCTACAAATAATAAGTTATCTTAATTTAGAAAAATAATAATAATCCGCTTTAAAAAAACATTGAGACTAAATTAAATAAAACAAATCAACATAATAACACTACTTTATCACATATCATGCTAAAAACCCGTGACAAGTATTTTTATAAAAAAAGAAAAAGATTAAAAAAACTAAAAAAGATTAAAAATTGAAAATAAAAATTTAAAAAACAAATGCTATTAGTAATTTGTTTTCAAAAATGACCTTCTTAGCCTTTCCCAAATTAGACACAATTAAAACTTTTTTAATAATAGGGATCAACTTGACACACGTAGAGACCATATGAATAATTAAGTCAATATTATGCAGATTAAATTTAATTTGTGCAAGAAGATATTCGATCATGGGTTAGGAGGCATTAATTTAAAATCTACATCATCAGAAAAACTAAACATATTACAACCAACATTAGTGCATTTTTCAGTAATATCCGTTACTCATCCTTCCACTGCCTCGTCCACCTCAAAAACTTTCCTCAGTTTCTCTTCGTCTGATTCAAAAACCTTTCTTGCTTGTTTCAGTTCTTCATTCATAGACAGTAGTTCTGTACAGCGGTTAAGTTTCGGCAAATCCTGCAGTATATAGTTATGGATATTAGACAAACAATAAATATGATAGTAGTGTGATCTCTGGCGTTTATAATGTACATCATATTAACTTATGACAGCCTAAAGCCATGTTAGCTATAATCTACTCTACGAGGGCAGAAACTTTTAGGCTTTTCTTTGTTTGAACTGCGTTCTTGGCTGTATAAGACAATTTCAAATTTCTTAACTACTATCTCCGAAATGAGGTCATCCAGAAGGTTGAGGTCATTTTTTCCTTCACTTGTTAACAAATAATTAGGAGGTAGGTAGTCTTCACCAGTTTTTTATAATATCACGCTGCTTTTGCTCGACTTAATGAAAAGTGAGGTAACGTTCATGCAGGAAGCGTTTCTGCCAGTGCATGTTTAAGCCTTTGAGGAACCACAATTAGCCTCTGCTAATGTCAGTAGGGTGCTACTTCTACAATGTATGGTACTAACTGACTCTGTTAACTAAGCTTAAAATGACACATGTAGGTCTAATGCCAATTATTAATTGGTCCCATCGCCACAAAACCAAGTCTATAATTACATTCATCAGTGGCTCTCTGCAGACTCGTATTTATAAGTTGATCACTAGTCTAAAATGTTGGGAGTTGGTTGTATATAGACATCAAAATGTCAGACTCCTTAGCTCTACAGGTTAATAAAATGCTAATAGTGGTAATGTTAATTGTTCACATGCTGATAAAGGTAGATTGGAAAGTATGATTGCTAGATAGCTATTGTATTGTGAAATTCTGATTCTCAATAAATTAAGAAATAAACAATTATAAAAAGACGGATAAATTAAGGAGGGTGTTCTAATACATTCAAGTGTTGTAGAGAATTTTTCCGTTAGTTTAAGCAGGATTCCTGTTTAATTCATTTGTTGAGTTTTGTGTTTCTCTTTGAATACATAAGATTTTAACATAAATATATGCCTCTAGAAGAATGATAGTTATATTAGAATTCAAGTTTCCCAGTAACATTAAATCTTTCATAATAATTATTTGCCATATTTTAACAAAGAGTACCTTGCGAATCAAATAGAGAAAATCCTCAACTGATAGCTTCCCCCTTTGAGATCCGATATCTTGGGCTTTATGAACCTTGGCAGACAAATTAAGTATAAGGACAACCATGTTTACTAGATCACTCAGACGGAATTGAACAATTCAAAAGTTAAGAGTATTACCAGTTCTGTGACATATTCCACAACAATGTCCTCCATAAGAGCCACACTTTCAGGAAGCGGCTAATTGAAACAGCAAAAAAAATTATAGACATAATTCTTTAAATTATAAGAAAAAAATATAGTTAACGTTACATAACAAAGACAGTACAATGCAAATTATGTGTGCGTGGGCACATGAGCCGAAGGATAAGGGTTAACGCTTAACACTCACATTAGGATCATCTCCAAAGCCATACATCATGTGCTGCACTAATGTATCCAAAAAGAGAATATTATTACGAATGAGAGGAAACTAGACTAAAATGTTAAAAACTTAGAACAAAATTCTCACATTCTTTTTGGAAAACTCCTCTTTTGCGCTTGGATGAAGTTTCTGATGGTTGTGAGGAAGCTGCTCTTGGTTTTGATGAGGTTCCAGCAGCAGAGCTGCTCATTGCTATAGGTCAATGCTTATACTGTTATCTTCAGGGTATCTGGAGTTAATGAATAGGAGAGGTTGAAGATACTTTTGGATCTTTCAATGCAGTTTGTAGGTTCTATCCTGCAAACAGAATACCAGAGAATAAAAAACACAAATAATGAGAGGAATCAAATTAAGGAAAGAATGAGAGACATTGGTCTTAGCAACTGCACACCCCTCAAATGAACTTCCAACTGTCCCAGGCTAACCCCCACCCAACCTACCCCACTCCGTGTAACATCCCAATCTTCTGGGTGTCACTAAACCGCATCAAAGTTTGAAAGGCAAATGAAAAAAAACACACTTTTGTTCTCCTCCGAATTCGAAGTCACACCCTTCAGTAACATACACAAAGCAAAGCACACAGGCCACTAGACCAATCTCTTTTCTTGATATTATATCCATTTTATTTCTATTTAGACCATCTTATTTGGCACATTCCCATTTTAACTTAATAATTTCTTATTTTATTTTATTATTATTATTTATTTATTTATAAATTTATTTATTTATTTATTTTATTTTTTTATGATACCTAGGCATATTAAAACCTCAGGGTCTTACACTTAACGCAGCTACAACAGCCCAAGGACACTGCCTACATTGAACCCAATCTGTGCTAAACCAACTAGATTCAAAAATCTGCATAGTTAACTACGGAACATATACAACATTGTCCTAGAATGTAACCCTATTATTGGTCCATTTTCTGGTGCTTAATCTGGTCAGCTTGAAACAGAGAAAAACAGCCATTGGATATTTGCCTATTTGAACCGTAAAAGTGCTAATCTGTACATTTCCAACTGCAAAGTTCACCTCTGTAAAAATACTATATTGGGTCTTTTTCTTTTCTTTTCTTTTTCCAAGGTCAAACTGCATAGGGTGGTGAGCTGCAAATATAAGCCTAAAAGCCTACTATGTTGGTTCACTACCATGTCATACTAGACAGAGTTGAACGCTGCAGTATCAGTTCTAGAAGCTCACTACATTGTGCCACTTTAATACCAATGTGAGCAAGGTTGCAAGCTGTAGAAAACCAGCAGGACACACCTAAATGTTGGACCATCTTGGACTACCCTGTGAAGCTAAACTAGGCACTTAGTTCTGCAACAAAGAACCTTGAACATGACAATTTACTGGAGTTATCTTGGACAAATAACAATGCCAAAGAGCCACTCAAATCCTGTTGCAATGGACTCAATTGATACAATTCAGACATAGTCTACCCCTGCACCAAATTCATCTCCAAACTCAGGAAGACATCTCGGTATGTCGGTATGTCATGCTCATTATGGATTCATGTAATTCCCTAAGGAATTTCAACTATGTGGACATAGTCTAAATCAGATTTTTTTTAAGAATTTACAAAAGCTAAAAACAATATTTTTTTTAATCGTTGAACTCAACTCTGACTCGAGAAGACATCTCGGTCATGCACGCCCACCTTGGGGTCGATTAATTCCAAAAATGAATTACAGTGTGCAGAGCTACGAGTTCAACTCATTTTCAAACCAACACACATAAGAAATGCTCGCACGTCATCGATCAAGAACACAAAATTAAAGGAAAAAAATCAAGATAAAAGAGTCACCAAACATACAACACATAACATCAAGAACAATAGTATTATTAACGAGAAACAAGAATTACAAGAACAATTACTGAACAGAAACGAGCAAGAATACGAGAACTCAAATCGTCTGAAAATGCACTAGAACCCTAAGCTCTCACGTTTGCTCTATTTACTCCTAAAAATGTAAAAATGAGAAAATTTGTGTCTAGTGTCCGTGTAAAGTCTCTTATTTACATGGTAAAAACCCTTTTTATAGAGTGGAAAACAAAGAAAATGAAAGAGTAAAAAGGAAAGAAGAACTTGCTCGTGACGCGTTGTGCTTCCCAATCAGACGGCTACCGTTTATATGCTTCCTTGCTTTACTCTGACCGTCGATCCTATCCAAGTGGCAGCTCCGGTCAGCTCTTCTTCTCCACTGGTCAGTGACGTTTGGAGCACTAGGCAAGTGCTGGAGCTCCTCTTCCTCTCTTTGCCCTAGCTCGAGTATTTTGCAATTGAAAATGAGAGTAGGAGACCCCTAAGGCAACTGCTGTCAAGACGCACCAAAATGACGTCGTTCCACTTAATTTCATTCCAAACCACTTTCAGACCTCAAAACGGCAGCGTCCCAGTAGAACCTAATATTCAGCCAGTGGCCCAAACTTCAATCTGCAGTAGCGACCCAGTTCTTAAATCAGCATCAGCTCCAAATGGCAGAAATGCACAGCAGCGGCCCATTCTTCTTCAATCAACATCAGCCCGTGCTTGCTGCAGCAGCAGCGTTCCAGGGGTCTAGTGCGATCTCAGTGGCCCAATTTCTGAAATCAGCCCAATTATTAAGGGCCCATTCTCCACCAAAAAAATCAATCCAAAATTATAGAAAAAAAAAGGAAAATTAACAACTACAAGAAAAGGATTTTTATCAAAAAGATTTTCCAAAAAAATATTAATAACCTAATTATTTACAAACACTAAAAATTATATCTAAAAACCTATTTTTAACTAAAATTATGCAAAACTAAAGAATTTAAAAAAAAACCTAAACCTAATCTAATTCTACAAAATTAAAGACAAGAATACAGGGAGTTATCGTTGTGTCTTAATGCAATAAGGTTAATCAGGCATTTAATTTTGTGCAGTCAAATGTGGAAAATGGTGTTGGCGCTTGTCAGGATTGTAATACTATAAAACTTCCAAGACTAATATCTTACCTTAATGATTGGATCGTGACATTGTTGTTTCCTCTTAATGGGAAGAAAAACTAGGGCGATAGGAAGACACCACAGCTCGTGGGGATTGAGACATATATGGATATTTGTTGTTGGGAGATATTCAAGTTATGCTTGCAGGAGTCTTTGAAGTTTCACGGCTCTTGGTGTATGCCCCGGAACCTCCTACAAATTGTTCAGTTTGTTGCCAGAGATTTACTGTCACTGCTAGAAGACACCTGTATTAGTTTAGGAGAAGTTATTATATCCGAAGAAAGGTTTAAACTGTATGGTACCGCTATTGATTGTGTTTCGTTGGTATTCTTGTCGCATGGTGGGTTGTCAAATAAAAACTTGGACTTGTGGGTTGAGACAGCCAAGGTGTTGCTTGATCTTGTGCTAAAAACTTATAACAATAGCCTTGATGACAGCAATGTCGGTGTCCTTGCACAACGCTTTTTGTGGTCAGTGCTTATGCCATTCTCTAAGTTGAGTGTCCAACGAGCTAAGAAAGGATTTCATAATTTTGTGGATAAACTTCTCGAGCCGCAATTGCATTTATCTAGTGAGTTGCATCTTCGGGTTAATAGAAGTAATCCCATTTGGATGTCGGGATTAAAAAAGGCAGTGGAAGAAGTTCTTTCTCATGGCTTTTTTTATCAAGTGCATATTTCTGATTTTTTAAGCCTACATGGTTCACTAATACAACAAGACCGAACGCTTAAGATCGAAGCTTGAGAATACCGGGTCAAGATCGAACGCTAACTATCACTGATACAGCAAGATCGAACGCTTACCAACTAAACCTCAGAATACCCGATCCAGGTCGAACACTAACGATTACTTACANAAAAAAACCTAAACCTAATCTAATTCTACAAAATTAAAGACAAGAATACAGGGAGTTATCGTTGTGTCTTAATGCAATAAGGTTAATCAGGCATTTAATTTTGTGCAGTCAAATGTGGAAAATGGTGTTGGCGCTTGTCAGGATTGTAATACTATAAAACTTCCAAGACTAATATCTTACCTTAATGATTGGATCGTGACATTGTTGTTTCCTCTTAATGGGAAGAAAAACTAGGGCGATAGGAAGACACCACAGCTCGTGGGGATTGAGACATATATGGATATTTGTTGTTGGGAGATATTCAAGTTATGCTTGCAGGAGTCTTTGAAGTTTCACGGCTCTTGGTGTATGCCCCGGAACCTCCTACAAATTGTTCAGTTTGTTGCCAGAGATTTACTGTCACTGCTAGAAGACACCTGTATTAGTTTAGGAGAAGTTATTATATCCGAAGAAAGGTTTAAACTGTATGGTACCGCTATTGATTGTGTTTCGTTGGTATTCTTGTCGCATGGTGGGTTGTCAAATAAAAACTTGGACTTGTGGGTTGAGACAGCCAAGGTGTTGCTTGATCTTGTGCTAAAAACTTATAACAATAGCCTTGATGACAGCAATGTCGGTGTCCTTGCACAACGCTTTTTGTGGTCAGTGCTTATGCCATTCTCTAAGTTGAGTGTCCAACGAGCTAAGAAAGGATTTCATAATTTTGTGGATAAACTTCTCGAGCCGCAATTGCATTTATCTAGTGAGTTGCATCTTCGGGTTAATAGAAGTAATCCCATTTGGATGTCGGGATTAAAAAAGGCAGTGGAAGAAGTTCTTTCTCATGGCTTTTTTTATCAAGTGCATATTTCTGATTTTTTAAGCCTACATGGTTCACTAATACAACAAGACCGAACGCTTAAGATCGAAGCTTGAGAATACCGGGTCAAGATCGAACGCTAACTATCACTGATACAGCAAGATCGAACGCTTACCAACTAAACCTCAGAATACCCGATCCAGGTCGAACACTAACGATTACTTACAGATATCAAAACCGACCGCTCAAGATTACTATTTGAGGATACTAAATTAAGAACGAACGCTTAATTACTAATACACCAAGACTGAACGCTTAAGATTCAAACCTAGGAATCCAAATTAAGACCGAACGCTCACAATCACTATTACACCAAAACCAAACGCCTAAGATTCAAACCTAAGAATCCAAATTAAGACCGAACGCTTACAATCACTATTACACAAAAACCGAATGCCTAAGATTCAAACCTAAGAATCCAAATTAATACCGAACGGTACAAACTAAACCTGAGAATACCTCATCAAAATCGAACGCCTACAATTAGTAATACAGAATCAAGACCGAAACGTAAAGATCACTCTCGGAGAATACTAATTTAAGGATGAACGCCTACGATCACTATCTCACGAAGACCGAACGCTCAAGTTTGAAACCTAATAATACCAATTT